AATAAAACAGAACGAGGCCAACCTTAACCAAGCTATTGACAATTTCTCTTTAAAACTGAAAAATATTACTTTAATTTCTAACGAATTAACTATCAAAGCAAATATTAATTCAATCTTAAATAGTCTAGAAGCTTCATTGTTAACGTTATCGTTTCGACTGGAAGACATAACAAACGCGATCATGATTAGTAATCAAAACATTCTGCACCCGGCCATATTACCTCCCGCGCAGCTTTATGATGAAATTGTCAGTAACTACCGATACTTACCTGTAGATTATAAATTACCTGTAGATTTAGCATTAAATAACATTCACCTATTATTGAATGTCTCTAGTATAGTATGTTATAGTTTAAGCAACAAGATTGTGTTTGTATTAAGAATACCATTAGTTTCTCCGAGAGAATTTAACTTGTACCATAGTATAGCATTGCCTACACCACACGATAAGTTAAAACATAATTCTTTTACTTATATAATACCTAGCAACAGATACATNATAATATTCTTCTTTAATAGATGCTGTATCAGTAAGGTCATCAGGATAAGATATCACCAAAATTGGATTAAAGATCCTACATTCCTTTCTAACAAAAAAAAATTAAATCAAAGAGTACTTTTTATGCGCTTGGCTGCGCAAAATCTCTTTGACAGGACGGTAAAACGTTTGCGCACCAAATACATATGTGAGTATGTATGAATATGTTTTAAATATTACCCAATCAACGATACATACGATGTGTATTGATGTTCCACAAAAAATACAGGATACATTTCATACGTGTTAGTCAATATGTGTATTCGTTTTATAAATAACAGCCGTAAAAACTGTTACCTGTACGCGACACATCGTCTAAAATCACGTTAGAGTTTGCACCGATAAATGTATTACAACATCCTGGCGCTGTGTGTGCTCACACCGGAAGCCGTAGCTGCCTATCGACGATGCAAGGCTTTCAAAGGCACCGTCTCATATTTGTAACGAGTAAATAACGACGTAAAGCACCTATAAATGCCACAGCTATTAATACTGTACTATAAGTCCATACAATATTCCTGCTTAGTCCGACAACTTGATTACGAATCAAATTAATGTTTCATAATTGACAATTGTTAAGCTCTAAATGGACGATAAATTCGTGAACTCAATTCTTGATCGACACTTGATGAGGGATTTTCGTTACAAGCAATAAAATATAAACAATGTTTTAGACTTTTAGAGTGATCTTTTCTTTAGGGATTAAAAAGATATTAAATTAATAGAACGGCAATTTTATTCTGTTGTATCTTTTTAAGTATGCCAAGAACAAATCACAAAATTGAATTGCGTTTCAAATTGAGTTATATCAGTCTTTTCTGTTCGTTTACCTTTGAGTCATCTGCAACAATATTTCAGGGACATCGATGTATTATGCATAGTGGTGATTACTTTCTGTGTAGGTCTGCAGAATTCCCCTGTCGTCTCTTTGGCTCGGCCAAATATGAATACGAATCGCGGGTACCTGCTGAAGTAAAAACTCAATGAGTTTCGACAGCCCCACAAACAACAATTAATTTAATTGAAGCTGTTCATTTCATTAGATTCCTACCACTAATTGATAACACCGTGAAGCTTTGGTTTATTTGGCCTGATTTCGCTCGAAACATAGTACATAAACAGTTAATGTTTTTCAACAAGCAATAAATAACAGAATCTACACATTAACTGTAGAGAGCATTGTTGTCTTTCATTAAAAGACCTTGTGACCTTGATCTGAATGTGAAAATCTGATAATCACTTTAATCTATGCTTGAGATTGAATCTCGTTTTGAGCGTCGGGTTATTCAGCCACGAGCTGTTTGATCAGAAAAGAGCAAGTTGAATGACTGCGGCATGGGAATATGGTGTCATATTGAGATCAATTATTAATCGTAGACCAAAACTACCTCGACCTCTCGATCCTACCACTGTAACTTCTAGTAAAATATGTTTGTCTCAAAGCGCTGGTAGGACCTAAAAGATAAGGAGACGTTTAAAATGCCCCTTGGCACTGAATTTAATATTGTGTTAATTTGATTTGCGCAGTCAGAATCTACAGGTTGATCGCCAATAAAAACGAAACTAGTGAAGGCCAAGTTTTTCGAGAGAAAAGTAAACTGTCCTTGCATCAGTAACGAAATTGATCAGAACAAAAGTAGTTCTATGTTAATAAGACTATGTATTACCAAAACTACTTAAAAACAGTTTGATATTCCTAACCAGTTCAATACTGGTTTGTACAATTTTAGGCACTGGTGTAGGTAGCTTTTTTTAACTCAAGTCCTTTTTTCAGGTCTCACCTACGGGATATCCGGGACCGTTCAGTGCTGCGTCTATTTGAGTCGACAGACATCGGGGGTGGCGCGTTCCCGGGAGTCGTGGGTGTAGGTTCTGTGCCCATGCCTGCCGGAGCGGCCACCTGTTCTGGCCCTTCGAGCTGGGATCAGGTAACTATTACTATTGTGCTTTTAGTATCTCCTCACAGATGATGGAGATGTGCCTGTGTTCTGAACATTATTTAGGAGCAGGTAACACCGTGCCTACGTATAGAGTTGGCCTCAGCAGATATGAAGGCTTATAGTATATTATTATAACATCTGACAATGACAATAAAGTTGAGACACATGACAACTTTTTCATCAATCCACACTTGTCGACTGGTGCAGCCATATCACCTCACAGATGCTACAGACACATATCCCCACGCTCTACAGTTTAAATACATAAGTGAAGTCTTAATATAGGTTTCAGATTCAAATTTAGGTACTCGTACAAATATACACAAATGACCATTATAATTTATGTATAACCATCTGTCTCAAGCATTCCTAAATACAAGTACATTATTACAGGACTTTACAATGAGATTTAATTAGGATGAATGAGCGTGACAAATTCAGTGGGTGGATAATTTAGTTGCATCCTACTTTGCAGAACTGGTGTGTAATTTATAAGCAATATATTTTTTTAGAAGAAAACTACGAGTGTGATTACATATGAGTACCGTCTTACTCGTAGTGCTTTTTTGTCACCGAAACCGTCTTCATGAACTGCTGTTCTCTTGGAATTCATAAAATAATAGAAGTTCTTCTGCATGGAACTACTTAACTAATCGGAACAGAGCTCATTTACGTCTTAGTTATAAAGTTTATTGAGTAGAAATATTTAAAATTGAGTGTACTGAAAGGTAACTTGATATTAAAGATAAGATCAGTGCTTGAGCTGAGCGAAAACAAAACAGGGCAGCGCTGAGTACCTGCCTTTGAACGACTTGGCATTTGTCCGGCTGCTTCTTCAATTTCTCAAACGACGTTTATATTATGCACCGAGTACTAGGCAATTTCCCGAGAAAAACTAAGTTGATCATCCTTTCAAACTCGCTGTATAACTTTATTGTTTGGTAACCTGGATAAAAGATGGGTCACCAGGGACGTTGCAACCACACGATAGATAAGGACCTACAAATATTATAAATTTTTGTACAAAGTTAAAATATTTTACATAAAGATTAGCGACGTATTTCGAAATCACAAAGGTCCATCACTCAAAAGCATAGCTGCAACTTGACTTATACGAGCTGAAACATTTTGTGACTAAAGTTTTGCACAAAATACCATTTGCACTATTCCTTTTTACTTTATCTGTGATAAGTAAAAGATCACAAATTTAGATTTACTGAACCTGGATAGTATTTTGAAGAATATTAATGCTTAATCACTTATGAAATAATATTCAAATGGCAGAGGTAATATTGTGTACTTTGCATGGAAGTACTCCATTTTGTGTAACCGATAGAATGTTATTTTTAGGTACCAATCGAATTGAGTGCCTGTCAACATATAAGCCCTCATAAATTGTCCTTCAGCAGGCGTTACATGAAACCTAGTTTTTACCTACCATCCTACTTAAATTAAAGTGCCATGCAATTTACAACTCATTACAGTTGGAACATTTTGTTTAAATTTACTGCCAAATATGTCCTCAATTTCCAGTGATGGCGCTTGTTTGACTCCCTTTGTGCCTTTGCGATAGCGTCCTCGCACATCTCAGATGCAAGCTAACAAACAGTAGCTAGTTTCGAGATTAATTAACTCCGCCGTTTAATAGACAGTTTTCAGAAACGCGCAATATTAAGGCTGGGTTGCACCATCTTACTTTAACTTTGACAAACGTCAAAAATCTGTCAAACTCCATACAAAAAGCACCGGTTATCGTCATAGTTACCATTAAAGTTAGGTGGTGCAACTCACCGTAACACTTTATTTATTTTAAAACATTTGTTTGACTTATATTATAATTTTCGTTTGGTTGATGAATTGATGACATATAAGTAAACTCAATGGCAGGTAGGTATTATGCTAGGTGCTATTTTGACATAAATATTTGTAACTATGTATTTCGTACTGAGGATCACGATTTCATGTACCTAATTGTTTTAAAGTCAAGTTTTTCAGTTTCTAGTTGTCTAGTTTTTCTTATCGAAACTACGTTACAACGACTTTAACACCGTCGCAAAGTGGCTTCTTTGAAGGTATTACAACATCTAATATGAGTATAATATTTTTGCTTCTTATAACTATTAAAAATCAGACATCTCATATTTCTGAGCATTTAAAGTCATCTTCAGAATGAGAAGTGCTGCTTAATTTACGGTTTCAGTGGAATCTAAATGTCTTAACTATCAATTAAGCCACTTATGAATTTCTGAGCCTCTTAACTCGGTCGGTGTACCTACGAGTAACAGGTTGTAATTTAATATAGCCACTTGAAAACTTTTCTGTTAAAATCTTGTTAGATATCAACATGATGCTTATGATAGATTCTGCTTAAGCTGATAGACATGCTGTGTTGATAGCACGTCATCAGTCTTAAATTTCGTTGTAAAAAGTACCTATTGCAAGTACATAAGGTCCCTAAATTGATGTGTCGTCCTTTTCTAATGTTTATTATCCTCTTACAGGACCAGAACTACTTCAGCGAGCCCGAAATGGATTCCGAGTACCATCACCAACATGTACACAAGTCGAAGGTAAGTCTTGCTGAGTGGCGAAAATACAGGTAAGTAACTTCCTTATTTAATCTTGTATGTGAAGATCCTGCGCTGTCTTCGAAGCAGGTGACATTTCCAGATCAAATCTTCTTACAACTTTGATTGGTACAAGGTATAAAAAAGAGCAGTGTCTTGACATATAAAACAAGATTATTTATTTATTTTGGCTGATGTAAATATCGTATCATATTTTCTGTCGTATACATGTAGATAGACGTTTTAGCATGCGTGTATATCAATCAACCATCTTCCATGTAAGTTACATCTGTTCATATTGAAATAAAGAACTCGAAAAATTTTCAAGGGTTTATTTAAAAAAATATAAAAATGGTAACAAATGGTATTATCGTTACAATTCTAGGTCTTAAAGTGAAAAAGTAAGAATAAAAAGCGGCATTTAAAACATATCTTAGTTACTATAATAAATAACAACTAACTCGAATTACTCGCAATGGCAAGTTCCAAATCGAATGATAAAATGACTAATTTTACAAATAATGAGTGAAGTGAAGCATGCGCTTTAAAACTACCAGCCTGAACTTATTATAATTGTAATTCTAAAATACTTGTAATTTTCATCTATATGATAATGTTACAGTGGTAAAGTTAACAATTGGAGTTTGTCAACAAGTAAAGCTTGTGCTTATGGTCTAGCGGCTTAGTGGTCAGGTATTCCCTTAAGGGAAAACACCACTGCCTTTGTTCATTAAACTGCGCCACAATGAGGCGTTTGTACATCTAGAAATGGGACTATTCCATTTGCAGTTAAATGAGTATCTATTTATGTTTGTATGTCTGTACTTAACAAATTTTCTTTTGGAAAAATTCTAAAAAATACTAAATTACAATTTCACCAGTATCGTCAGTTATTGTGATCGTCCATGGAATAATCCCGATAATGTATCATGATAATTTTCTATTTTAAAACTACCCGTGCACAGACTAAACTAAAATGCCCTACAAATGGGTAGGCCCTTGTAGTAGTGAGCACCGCTGTACAACTTTTTTGGTGCAGTCCTCCAGGAGAGCACCAATGCTTTCTTGAAAGGCTCGGGGGCGCAGCCACTGCACACTTGCATAACTGCCTTTACTTCGGCTTCAGCTGGTTCTCTCTCGTCCACCTGAAATGATATTGTTTGTTTTAATTTTTTAACCTCGTCAGTTTTTAATTTTAGACTTTAGTTCGTGTTACAGTTTAGTCACTTACAGTTTGTTTCTGCAAATTCTGCACCGGCAGGTTTCCTACGACTCCGGCAAGACCATGCAGCAGAGATTCTTGGAACATAATATCTTCCTCTTGATCTTCCACCAGACCCGGGCTTAGAAGTGCTTCATCGACTATTGAACCATCTGATAGAGCTACTAAACCACGTTTGTCTTTTTTCCCTGAAAAGTAATGATTCAATTATTTTAGGATGATATAAAGAAGGATGACGTCTAGGTAATATTTTGTCGTAGTTATTTCCATACCTGCTTTTGTTCCATCGGCAAGCTCCTTTTCGGGGTTATCTCTTTTGTCTCTTTTCTTGGAGTCTCGTTTGAACAAGTTATGTGACACAGTGTCATCAATGTATTGGACGTTAGCAGGGTTCAGCAGAGATCCTGATAGCACGACACTAGTGCCTTTGGATGGTCCTATGGGCCGGGAAGGGAAGGTCTGCGGCTGTCTCATTTGCTGTACGGGCACCGGTATTTGTTGTGGAAGGTTCAGAGAGTTGTATTGATCTGCAGGAATCTGTTGCACACTGTTGACCAGTTGCTCGGACACTATTCTGTTTCCTAATTGACCGTTCACGTACTCTTGTTGAATTTGAAGACCGTTGGGTAGTTGTATAGGGATCATTTGCTGAGGTCCAACAAGGTTGAGGTTCTGAGGTCTTTGCAGCTGGCCACCCACGAGGAAGTTTCCATTACCCAGAGGAGTTGCCATCGGCGGCGGCGGCTCGGTCACAGGTTCGGTGGCAGCCTCAATGGGAGTGCCGTCGTGCTTGAAGTGGTGAGCATGGTGATGTTTGTGGTCTTTGTGTGCTTTTCCAGCGGTTAGGGCCACATGGTATATTTGCAGCATGGTTACTTCACCGATCAAACCAGGTTGTCCTGAAAAATTTGGTATAGATTGTAAATATCGGGAGAAGTCACAAGTTTCATAATAATATACCTTTTAAAATCTGGTGAGAGATTATAAAACGTTACGATACTTACTAGGTTTTGGCTCCAGTGGTGGATCTCTGTTGAACAGCTGTGACTGGTCCTGTCCGGTCACGGCTACTCCTCCGCCTTTGATTACATGTCCTACAAGCTGCAAATGAAAAACATAAATTACAAACGTGGCTTGCCTGTCCAAGTCTGTACAGAAGTATTTATTTTATGTGAAACAGCGACTGCAGCATACCTTGTAAAATTAACGTCACCGTGTCATGTAGCTTTTAATAAATATAACATTATTAATTATGAATACTCGACACTTATGAGGTAATACATCGAAGGGATGAAATTAAATTATGACATTTCTGCGACGCAAATAACTTTGTTACTGAAAATGTAAATACAATTTTAATTGGCAATATTTAATTACTTTTGAATAATTTATTATGAAATGCCATCTTTCCTGGATATATGCCTACATTTAAAATAAGATAATGTTTTTTTCATTTCCTGGTAGAGCGAGGGCTACAAATTCCAAAGATATAGTGTAAAGTTACTGTCAGGCGCTCAGCAAGACTATTTTAGCGTACACGTCAACCAATGCGAGGTTTTTCGAATTATGTTCGGAAGGACCTTTGCTTTCAATTTTATTTTACCTAATTGCCACCCCTTAACAGTTGTGAAATTAAATTTATCTTTGCATATAAATATCTTCATCTTACCCTATTATGGAAACCTCTGCCGACTCTCTCTGCGTTCACCCAAATCTGCCATTCGCCGGTCTTGCCGTTCCACGATTGGCAGGAGTGGTACCATCTGAAAGAATTCGTTTTCAATTAAAAGTTTGAATGGATTAGCCCTTCTGAACATGTTGTTATCTACGGCCACACTCAATTGGAACAAAACAGTAGGTAATTTAATTAAATCTGTTTTCTACGAAAGACGGGTGGGAGCGAGCTTAATAAACATTTAAATCGGTCATTGTGAAAGATGTAAGTACCTGTACTGTAAGTTTAATGTGTTTAGTTAGCTAATATAAAGATAATGTTCCCTAATATAATGAGATGCTTTATTATGTCCATAGAAAATAAGGCTGGGTTGCACCATCTTACTTTGACTTTAACAAACGTCAAAAATCTGTCAAACTCCATTCAAAATACACCGTTTATCGTTATAGTCACGGTTAAAGTTAGATGGTGCAACTCAGACTTAGTCTGTATTAACAGTGAAAGGATCTGTCAAATTACATAAATATTTTATATTAAATATCAGTCAATCAATACCCCCTCACGTGCATGCTATTTTACGGCAAGATGCGCCGCGTCAGCGTGACGTCGCTAATCACTTGAGGGGATTGATACTTTAATTTAGCTACGTATAATGTATTTTAAATGCAGCTGGAGTAGGAACTCGCTAAGACTGAAGATGCCACAAGCTGCAAAGCTAGCGGTTCTTCCTGTTAGAGTCAATCTATAAATGCATCGCCTTGATTGAATTGAATAACGGAAGTTTTACACGGAACTTCACTTTGATACATTATTCGCCTGAAAATCTTGGACGGTTGGGGTGGTTAATGTACTTATGTCTTATTGATCACTGCCTTTCTGAGCATTTGTGGGACGCTAATCAAATTTAAGCCCATCGACTTTGAAATTATAATAGAAAAGCAAAAGTTGTGTTTATTTGAACACCAATTTTACATTAACAATTGCAAATTGATCTTTCTTAGGCTGAGTTGCACCACCTAACTTTAACGGTAACTGTGAAGTTTAACCGGTCGTTTTTGTATAGAGTTTAACAGATTTTTGACGCATGTCAAAGTAAAAGTAAGATGGTGCAACCCAGCCTTAAAAGGCATAAGTTAATTGTCACGGCAAATTTAACTTTGGTGACCTAGCTGGACACAGGCCAGTTAGTCAATGTTCCATGAACAATATTAACGCTTTGTCACTAATTTGATTGAGTGAAACTGTATGAATTCATTTTCGTGCCGCTATATTTGCAACGCGCGTAACGTTAGGCAACGATACAATATGAAATGCAACACTTACAAAAACGTCGATTTACGCAAATCGTGCGCATTTGCTATTATGAATACATTTCTAGTCAATGAAGCGGTGTAAAAACGAAAGGCGTGGCTTCGTAGCTATTATTGCGTAAACATAATCTAAATGATGATTACTTTGTTTTCTGAATACATAAATATTAGGAAATCACCCATCCTATTGATTGTTTATTTAAAATAAACATTATGTGCCCGCATACAAGGTTGGAAATCCCATTAATGCACAGTCTATCTGTACCTGAGGGAAAATCCGTGAGACGTAATGTAGGTATTGAATATTCGGGACAGAAATAGAATATGCGGTTATTTGGGATGTACGTGAATCGGTGTGCATGCCTATTAGCAAGCCACATATGCTCAGGCATGGCATCAAGCAATGCTATTAGGAGTTAGATAATGTTCAGGATTACAAAATCGACAAGTATTTTTAAATATATTTTTATTTTTTAAGTACATACCTAGTACATCGATTTTAAGTTTCTCTAGTCGAGTCTTTTTCTCATAATATTATCATGCTAAGGAAGTCGAAGAGTAGGTTGCTCTTAAAATTGCCTACACTACATAGGTAGTCTATACTCAACACGTTACGCGTAGACATATCCATAGAAAGCGAAATGGCATGATCCGTTGCGCTTTGCCTCGTAATTTGACACTTTAGTGTTACAGTTCTCGTAATACAAAAGCAAGATATGTTGCTTGCTTGAATATCTTCTGTTGTAAAAAGAAAACACTAGGCGTGTGGACGACCTGTTTTGTTGTTGAAAATACTGTCATAACCCAGTGGCCGAGTTATAGAATTATAGGCGACAAAAATGTTCGCGACTCATAGTTTATTCGCACACGTGATGGCAGGCACAATTTGTCCAGAATTCTCGAGACGCTCGCACCACGTTCGTGTGGGTCTTAAAATGTAAAGAACGATATAAATAAATAGAAGAACCACTGGTTTCCCACATACATTTTACTATTTAATAGCCTCATGTATCATGATTGGATTTATCCGATATAATTTTCGTGATACTCCATCTAAATCAATGATTTAATGATTAGGATGAATTGGTCTACCAATTAGATATTACAAAGCTTAGTTTATACATAGTGACCGCATTCATAATCATTTCCGCAAAATGTGCCTCAATCTGCAGCCAGCGCGGTTAAAGCGACGTATAAAGTTACATAAACTGAATTAAGTAGAGTAGCTATTAATTCGACCTACGCGAGATTCTTTACTCATTAACGATTATGTATAAATACCTACTTAGTTAAAGTTAATTGATTGATATTATCTTCATTAATACATAATTTTGTGTAAACATGTAATTACATATGTATTTAGCTGTAATCAGCGAGCTCGAGTTCCAATTTTGTTTCTGTTAGCTAAGAAATTAGCCGAATTAATTTTATAATTCTGGTGGGATTTGTATGATAATAATTATAATTTAGATTTTATATATTTTCATTAGACATACTCGTAGTTAAATATTATTACTATTATCCTTTTTTTATAAAATTACGAAATGCCTACTTCAGTTAATATCCAATAACTTGTTTATTAATCAAAGCAGCAATTTCATAGGTAAGCACGTATTACGTATGTTGAAGTTGATAAATGTTTAAATTGCGGGCATATACATATTTCACCAACTCAATGAAGTTTGACATGCAAGGTGCTTAATTAATTACAGACCTGGATATTCACTATAAATCTTTAAAAAGTTTGCGTTTATTTTGTTATATATTTTTATTATATAAACAGCGGCGATCACAATAGATCGATAACGGTCGCAGTGATACTAGGACTTTATTGAACTAGAATAGCCGCTCAACACAAATAAAAATAATAATAATAGTATTTTAGTTTTTTTTTTTATAATTTACATTGTAAAAAAAATATTAAAAATAAGAAGGAAAATGAATAAAGAGATAATAATAATATATATTTTTCCATTTTAACCTATGGGGTCCAATGAATCACGATGAATGAATGCATTTTGAAGCGTAAATATGGGTGATGAATCGCGAAAATGTCAATAGCTTTTAATTGATGGATGGGTAACGGTATCCATCTTGCTAACGAACTATTGAATAAGAGAATAAAAATTGTATATTCAGGTATTGGTTTTCTTCGACTTTAGTTTTCAACTTTCACTTGAGTCTTAAAATATTGTAGTTACTTTAGATTCCCTGTAGAAGAAGACATACCAAAAATTAATTTAATCGATACCCTTTCAAATACTGATATGCTCTAATTTCAATTTACAAGTTGCCGATCTGTAATCCATTTATGGTCCTGAACTCCCGATGCAGTGGTAGGGTTAAGTGCTTAAAAGCCTTTTTGCAAAAATAAATGAGTTTTATGAGTTTTTAATCTCACTTGCAAAATTTAAAATTTCAGCTGATAGCTATCGGTGACAGCATAGCAAAAACTCGTACACGAATGTTACAATATAGGCCAGAGTTCGAGGATATATATCAAGATATATATCGGATATATATCCGATATATATCAAGCCGGTTTTGATGATATATATCAACTTTTAAAATTTGTTACTGTATTTGTACTTTTTGACATAAGATTTTTATTTTTTTAGTTGATTTTGCCGTATTTCAAAGATATTTTATGTTTTTGCTTTATTTGTCTGATTTTAAGTTTTAAAATCATTAAAAACATGTTTATGTAACACATATGCAATAGTATTAATGAATAATACAATAAAATAATACTATGGCTTTCATACAAAATTGATATATATCAAAGTTGATATATATCGGATATATATCATAAATATCCGATATTTTGATATTTATAATAAATATCGGATATTTTCGAACCCTGATATAGGCACAGCTAAACACATAGAGCGGTTACATTTCCTAGTGCATGTAATGTTTGATTGCATTACACGAATCATGATTTGTTGGATATTAAACCTCTGGGTCTCGAAGCTCGTGGCTTATTAAGATTGGTTGGTCTAAAATTAAAATTTGCAATCGCATGCAACTAGTTCGTACGATTGCATAAAACTGTGAAGAGATAATAATACCACGCTTCGTTTGACTCGCTCCGGCAATAAAATGTTTAATTTTATATACTTATAGGTACATTGCCTTCTTACTTTATACTCAATGGTACGAACTTTCAAAATGTATTTGTCTGGAGATCATTCACATTGATATTACAAAAGCCAAACAAAGTAAGTACCCACATACTTCTAAGATATTCGGAATTACCTTCGCTTTTCAGCATCAAAGGCTAATGATACCGAATAAGCTCAAGAACCCCCGTATGCTAGGAAAATATTTGTATTGGAAAGAGCTTTTCAGTATTTATTGGTTATTCCGGGAAAGTACTCGGGCTCGATGTAAACGTGTAATTAAAATTGTTTGATCGATTAGATCGGACGACGTCAATTCTTAGAAGTCTTGAAAGGGAGCTGGAAATTTAAAAATTATTCTCTTGTTTACATTCGTAATTTGGTTTGGTTAAAAAAGCTTGAATGAACCCTAGCTGAATGGGTGAGTTTAGATTTAGAATGTTTGTTTTGAGAAATAAAAAAAATGTCTTAAACCGTAATCAAAGAGAACTAAAATTCTATCAGTTCAACCAAAACGATGTTTTTTGTAATTATTTCGTATAATAAGTGCTCATGAGTATTCACACTAACCAAACAAACAAATTGAGATTCCGAGAAACATTAGTTTAAATTCAAGTAAATTATTATTATTTCTAAATACAATGTTAAATGTTATATTCCCTTGTTACATACAAGTTAATAGAAATATATATTTCAGGGTATTTGCTATAAGCCTCTGTTAAATTTTGCGTATTTATGAATGTGGTTATGAAAAATAAACCAATAAAAATAAAATGTTAACGTACTCGTATTCAAGTAAGGGAATATCAGACCTGCATCCATTGTATGCTTCGAAATTGATTTCAATATTGACCGTAACACTTTAATCCTCTTATTCATTTATGAAATAGCTTTTATTTAAATAATTTTGAGTACTCTTCATTTGTTTGATTGTTCGATACTTACCTATACATATTATGTATACTAGCTGTGCCTCTATGACTTCGTACGATCGCATTAGATATTAATTTCTCTCTATGCGTCTCTCAGTCAGCAGAGTATAGATTTGGAAAAGACACATAAGATGCCTACGTCATACAACTTCTTATGAGTTCACATTAGGTACATTAATTATAGTCTAATAGTCCACTCCAATCCACTGGTAAACATTATTTAATTACACATTTTTCTTATTCTAATCATTGTAAAGAATCACACTTTCTCGTCACTTTTTAAATGTGGTAGCTTATTGTTTACGGTACGACCGTACAATTACACTTACTTGTTTAATTTCAACGGGTAGTTAAGCCTGAAGAACGTTTGTCCGTGTACAGCCATGCTGAAGTAACTCGCTTCGTTCGTGTTCGAAATCCAAGCCAAAATCTCTTTAGGGTTGTCACTCACTGTGGAAAGAAAAAAAACAAGTTACTTATGGCCGTGTAAATTTTTGAAAGTTATAAATCGGTGTGATAAATCTGCTTACCATAAAAAAAAATATCAAAACTAGTATTTTTATCAACATTATATCTATTTAAAAAAAACAATAACCCTCCTTCTGGCGCAGTCGGGTAAAAGTAGTGAAATCAAATGTTAGATTTTTTCAAGATTATCACGATCAAAAGTCTAAAAGTTTGCTAGTTGATAACATAAATGAGTTCACATGTCCAATTTTCTAAAATAATGTTGCCTACCCTAACAATTCGATATCCTGTTCAGTGTGCCTACCATGAGTTTACGTTAGGTGTGCTCGCTAGCGACTGCGTAAAAAAATGACATTTAAATGTATGACATATTGTGCAGCGCCCCTAGCGGCTACTTTCAAGAAATAAAATCTTCATATAATTTTTTGACGTATTCGCTAGCGAGCTCACCTAACGTAAACTCATGGTAGGCACACAGGGCTACATAACGACTTATTTACGTATTTACGAAAAATACGCCGCGCCTATGCCCGAATAGTCAGGCGCCTGTTCATTTGTTTTTCCTGTTTTATGGCTTTCTGTCGTGCACAGCTCGCCGCAGTTCTCTTACTACCCTGAAAATTCACCTTTCTGTCCCCACCCAGTCACGAACCGCCTCTGCCATATGACTCAGCCCTCTTTTATATCTTTATAAATACTTTAAACGCGTTTTACATCTTTTGTATCGCTGTGCGAGCTATTGGTACGGCTTTCTGACCACGCTAGTCACCAACTTAGGTCCTTTAGGTCAGTTATGTAATAAGTATATCACGATCACGAATGTGTTTCACTCTCATTTCGTAAGTCGTGCGTGTCAATAAGTAGGGTAACGGAGCAGTAAGAACACCTCAGCCAGTTATCGTTCTGTGCTAAGTATAGATATTCAGAACTCACATGAGTTAGCAATATTATCTACGCTACATACGAGTACAGTACAAATCTGTGAGATTTAATTTCGATTAAATATCAATACCAAAATAATATCTCTTATTTATTTATTCACTAACATTTTCATTTTCTTAAGAAACATTTAAGTGTGTGAAAGCTAATTTACTATGCGCACAGGTAGGTATAATGCCTTGTAACACGACAATCAAGCCGCAAAGTTCAACAGTTTCGTACAATTAGTGTCACTTAGTGGGCAAGATTGGCACCTCGCCGAGTAAGAGCTTGAATGGTTGCTGAAGTTTTCGTAACTCTTAGTGGTATGTATAATATACATTGTACACACAATCAGTTTTATGGCTAAGTTTTAATGCCTATCCTAAAAACAACACGACCTATTCATACACCGCATACTAAACAATTTATTTTACGAGAATGTGTGTTCACACTATTATCTTTCAGATGCGTTTCCCATAAAAATGTCGTCAATGGGATAAAATCCGCTTCGAGTTCATCAATTCGGCCCAACACGATCAGTTAATTGGTCGGATACGTATTTTCCGACTGCGAGTAATAACGAAGTACCATACCAGAAAAAGCTGGCTACATGATATTCCAGTACGGTTCGAGAATGGTTGCATGAAGTTTTAAAACAATTATTTCAGTAACCTTAACACGTTTTCTTTCAAAACAAAGTATGATTCACTTTCAATATACAATTATAATTCAAGATTACCAAAATTGCAAACGCACTGAGCTTAGCGATATTAATCAAAATTATGAAAACCTTGCAACTACAAATATGTAAATAAATTACATTTACATGATCATTACACGTTTATCCTGTACAATGACGGGTTCTCATAAATAATAAGTAACTGATGTATTTCGATGTATCAGTCATCATCCCTCGTACAATTCTGTTTAAATCAGGCCATGGTGGCGTGTATTTAGTAACTAGAATATAAACATGCATATTTATCTATATTCTCGCAAAGATTTCATCAAAAATTCGCCAAAATGTCTGTATTAAATTCCCTAACAATTTATAATTAAGTGAAAACCACGAAGTATTCATTGTTTTAACTCTCAAAGTTAACTAAGTTTACCTGCCCGGTAGTTGCAAAGCTTGGAAGTTGCTCGTCTGACAGATAAGTCTGAGTTCGACTGGAAGCGCTGTAATACTTTAGGTTACTTAGCTGTACAACTTCCAAAGAAATTGCTGCGTCTGAGACAGGCATTTAAGGGCGTGAATAATTAACGTAGTCTTAGCCGTGTAGTTCAGGCGGAGTAGAATATTACAGGACCACACCTGCTGCTAGGTATTTCTTTACGAGATCGAATCAGAAATGAGGAGATCCGTAAAAGAACTAAGGTCGCTGACATAGCTCAACGGATTAGCAAGCTGAAGTGGCAATGGGCAGGGCATATAGTACGCAGAACTGACGGCCGATGGGGCAGCAAGGTTCTGGAATGGAGGCCACGTACGACGTCCACCACAAGGTGGACCGACGACCTCATAAAGGTAGCGGGAAGGCGCTGGATGCAGGCCGCCACCAACCGGCCATTGTGAAAATCATTGAGGGAGGCCTGTGTTCAGCAATGGACGTCCTATAGCTGAAATGATGATGATGATGACACCTGCTCTTCCCGTGGACCACTAAGAACAGGCCACCTCATGCATGAGGAGTATAGGGCAATTGCTCCTAGAGAGAAAGGACCGTTTTCCTGCAGTGGAGACTAAATGACCTGTGATGACGACTAACCTGCATACGAGAACAGCGGATGATCTGTGGAGTGATTATGGAACTTAGTCCACATGCACAGAGTAAACTCCTTGAGGTCGGGCAGGCTCTTCTCGTACTCCATGTACTGGTAATGCAACTCCTGGTTCATGGACACCTTGTACACACTGCAGGAGTCCGAGCCCTGGGACGGCGGAGCCATGTTGATCAGAGACAACTTGTTGCCGCCATACGGACTGGGTCGTCGGTTCAATATCTTGAGACTGCCACTGCAATGAATATTAATCGGTCAAGCCCTTAACGGACATTTTTCATTGTTTATAGACCTGAAGGTTTGGAATTGAATATGGTTCGAACTATATGCCCACTGCAATAAAAAGGGTTAACTAGATTTAGCATACACAGTTATTATATGTAGTACCTAAGTTAAATGTCCGCCGTTGCAATCGATCAGTGCGAACAAAGGATCGCTAAGTGTACATAATAATCTTCGGGCAGTGCAACATGTCAGGTGCCGGCCATTTGCAATATCAAGTTGACATGATATTAATAATAAGAAAGCAAAGTATTTAAAAATGCTTTTTAATAATTTCATGCTGTGCTATAAAATATTATTATAATTATTGAATTTACTGTGGGTCCAGTAAGAGTTATTGAGCTCACGATGTTTTAACAATTTATTGCTCTGTGCGTAAAATTCTCAGTATCGCAATACTTTATGACCGTAATTAATGTTGTCTAAATGAATCTGAACTAAGCCAATGGGTACCTGACAGGCATTATTTTACAGTACTTTGTGGGGCCACTTCAAATGTAATTGTGAGACGCAATTATTTTAAATCAAGCCCTTCGTCTGAAGTCATATATCTCAAACTAGCGTAGGTACGTTAAATTGCGGTATACTGTCACCGCACGATTTCAGAGAATTTAGCTATTCATTGTTTACATTCCTGTTTAATTCATATTGAGGTGTATTTGCGTTCAAACGAACCTTTGAAGCTGTAGTGCTTTGACGAAGGGAGTTTAACAGGTGGAATAGAAAACGCAAACACACATTATTTGGCGTGGGTTCATATCCTCTGTGGCTGTGTTGCCTCAGTGCAAAATCGCACGTAGTGTCGCTACACGTTCCAATATTTACCTTGGTTCTAAAGAGCGCTCAGCTGGTTTTACATAGGACGTGAATGATACACTGGACTCGGGGTGGATGGGTTGCCAGTCGTCTTCCCCCACGGCGAACCCTAGCAGGGCACACAACAATAGTATCCGCATATTCTGCAACAAACAAATCATACAAGCATTTAATTAATACGTCAGATATAATTGAAAAGCTTTCATAAAACCTCTATAAACAATAGCGCAAAAACATCAGTTAATTACATTGAGAGCTCAATCAGCAGAACAGCAACAAAGCATTTTATTTGAAAGTATAAATTCATTTATTTAAAATAATCTGTATCACGAATACCGGGTAAAAGGGAAATTTAACCCGATTCTGCCAATTATATAATTAATACAAGAAACTTCACAGGAAGTAAAAAACATAATAATTGAACTAAAAGCATTTCATTGCAACATTGCAAAAAGTTAACATGAAATACTGGTATCTATCGCTAATGGTTCCATTTCATTATAATTAATTGTGCTTGAGGTATTGATGCGATATCTGATTTGAGTTACGACCATTGTAAGTACACACTAACACTTTTAACACCGAATCTTAGTTTTGCCGACTTTAATAGCCAATCAATAACGCAACTAAGTACTCGTAGTAGTTTTATCGATTTTTTATTACAGTTACAAGTATATGTTAGTAAAATAACTTCGATACACTTTTACACAATTTTAACGTTTGCTAAAGTTCAAACTACTCGTATATTCTAATTTTACGCAACATTTTGGAAGCAAATGCCGAGCGTATTTGGCATACCTAGACATTCGTATATCGATTCTCTCAATTTTGGTATTGGTTTTGATACTGATGCATTTTATGCGTCGGTTTTAACTACTGTTCCTTTAGGGTAAACATTGTCTATAATTGAACTTGATGGTGCAACACCAGAAGACGTATTGCGAGAGATTCAACGTTTCCAAACGAACGTGAAAGTGGTTGATTTATTTTGAATACCACACTGTATAGTTGATTGCGTCTAACAGACATAGGCGTGGAAGAGAAAAGTGGTTAGTGTATAGGAAACTCCTCGGTTCCTGTGGCTGGTCGGACCGCTTATTACCACGGCAGTTCGGTCGGTTGTAAAAATAATAGTACGGCTGTGAAAAGAGGCGTCGGTATGTACTAGCAAAACTGCTAGAGGTACAAACAACGTAAATAATTGTCTTTGGTTGGTACTGCACTAGTTTAATGCTTGCTTAATGCTCAACGAGCTTACATTAATTGATACTGATGTAAGTTTTAATTGATTTTACATTTAAGAGTGTCAAGGAGAAATTGGAAAAGTACTACAGAACTCGATGAAATCCCCTTTAATGAATAGGAAAATTCCCGATGTCTCCTTCATTTACTATTCAGTGAATTGCTTGCGTACGTTTGTGAATAGCGATATTACAGATATTTTTATGGTACTATATTTATAAGGCAAACTCCATTTTTTCAATTAAGGTATTTGTATTTTCTTACTCTCTTAATATTGAGACATTGAACCAAATCAGAAACTGATTCTATATTTAACATTGAAAAATACTGTTAGGAATATTAGGATATTTATAGATAAGGCGAGAATAGATCTTGGTGTACAAAAAATCTGACAGCCTGTATTGTTACACGAGAGCGCAATGTCACTACAGGTATAATTATTGCGAATAAACAATACAATGACATGTTAAAGTAATTGAAATTGCTTGTTTTTGAATGTTTTTTATATTCATTCACACGCTAATTGATTCCTGCCTGTAACGTACAAAGTACAATACACATTATTCAAGTGCCCCAGTAATGTCGCCTGCTATTAGGGAATTAACATCAGCTGCCTTAATGAGGTACTTACATAAGAGTGCTTCATATCTCCTAACGGTCAGAATTATGGAATGAACATACGAGTAATATCTGGTATATTATTTATGCCGAGCATATTCTAGAAGCAAATGAACACGTCGTTATTACAAGCTTTTTATTACTTTCACATGTCTGGTGTCTGTCGTCAAATCTTGCAACTTAAAATTGACCCGCTTCCCGGTTTCCTATTGAGCTGAAATTTTGCATACATGTGTAAGTCTGATGACAATGCAATATTATGGTACCATTGAGCTGGTCTGATGATGGAGTCGGGAGGTGGCCATAGGAACTCCTAAACAAAACGGCGGAAACTCATCGAGTTTGGGTTCGTTGGATTTGTCTTTTCGAGCACTTTAGTGTTAGATAACGTCCAGGGTCCTGAGATTAAGATATAACTAAAAAGTGTAAAATAAAATTATAATAAAAATAAACTTTTTTAAAAACAAGCTTTTATTCTGAATTTCGAAAGCTTGTAGCGCAAACAGAGAAAAAGAGGAATAAATTCCATGCGCGATACAAACTTTCGAAATTCAGAATAAAAGCTTGTTTTTAAAAAAGTTTATTTTTATTATAATTTTATTTATTTGCCTGTCTGTAACTAATAATTTCTGAATTGTAAAGCAATATTTTAGGTGGTTAATAATTATATTATTTCCCGTGATTAGAATTGATGCTTCGTGTAATGGTCGCTTTACGTTCCGCTTCATCGAACGAAACCAATCCGAGGCCAAATTAGGGGCGGTATTCGAAAATTGTTTCCAATGTTGGATTAGTGCTGAACACCACTCCACCCCGGCTTTGTATTTTCTCTCCACAGTGTCATCGTGAACGTTTCAATGGCTGTGCGTAATTTCATTTTGAATAAATATTGATACCTACATAATGAATAGGGATGATGACTGAGTAATGAAATCGAAATTCTATTTAGTCCGTCAGACAGATAATAAAAAAAACTTGGACACATATTTTTTAATTTTTATTCATAATCGAGTCATTTTTGAGTAAAAAATCTACTCAAGCGTGACGTAACGCACAATTTCATCTCGATGTAGCATTGTTATTATTTAATTATGAAAGAAAATAAAAAATATAAGTCTAATATTTTCTAATTATCTGTCTGACGGACAAATAATTGAAATTTTGTCATCTAGCCTAATTAAATATTAGGAACGTATTCCCATTTGTCATCATTGACTGTTAAATTAAGTACCTACATGCGAACTCCACTATTTAAAGTATCACTCACACTTGTAGGCTTTTGTCCGATGTTTTTGATCAAATTGTCAATTACAAGTAGGTATATAATTAAATTATAATTGGATTTAAATTTTTTTTATATTCCACGTTATCATATTCATGTCGTATTCGTACAACGAATTGTATTTACATATTTAGTAACAAACAACTTATTGCTAGCTCTACTAAATTACAGGAGTCACCCACATTCTAGACCTGTATTGTGATGCCCACAAAACTTTATACATATCTATACTCTCACAGAATGTTGATACAATGGAAATAGTTTTATAACCAACTTCAGTAATAATATATTATAAATCAGTGGGCTAACTTGTATCTTTGTTAGAACACAGTTAGTGTAGGTAGGATATTATGGCCTCCGCAATTTATTGGAACATTGTATCCATAAATCAGTTCCGTAGTAAGCAAATAATTAATCCTGTAATTTGAAATTATTTGCTATTTAATTGATGTGTTTTATCGTAACTTCCTTTGTTAGGGAGCTTAGGATTTAGGATCTATCGTGGTAATAAACCTGTCGACGGCGGTACCCATGCCTCAGAACTAGATGTGAATGTTGCAAGAGTGCCTATTGCGGATATTATACTGACGGAATCATGTGTATACTGACGTAATCCATCGAGATGCTAGTAGTAGGGTACTCGACTATTTACCATACGGAATACAGCGCATACACATTGTTCTGCCCCTAAGCTAGGCGAATATCCTGTAGGTACGCGTACAAACGAAAGCCAATCTAAGCCAATCGATATCACTGGTCAACAGTGGTTTTAGTGCCAAGGAACTGTATATATTTTTTGATTGAGGACCTTATGCTGGTTGCTTTAGTAGCAAATTTGTTGATTTCCTACGTGTGGTTTTCTAGATGTTGACGTGTATAGAAAAATACAAAATTTCACCAAAATCAGCGTTTATAATATTTTGAAATGCTTAAAAACTTTATTTTCCACGACTTTTGTGAATGAGGTGTAATGGAACTATCACGTTACATCCTCTAGCAGTAATCAGCCATCATATACCGATCCCATCTGCCTTGGTACCTCTCTTTCAATGGTTTTTAGGTCTTGATAGCATCGCTCTCCCTATTCTTAGCTATAGCATGCTATAGTGACCCAAGATTCTCTGGGAATTGGTCAAGATGACTGTGGAGGTAGTGCTCTTTGATAAAAATTATGACATCCTGAGTCTTTAAGGCATGTCTCACAATTTCAGAGTAGTTACTGGACTAGTGATTTCCGAAAAAAAAAATTGTAATTTCAATTAACAAAATCTATGCAAATCGTTCCAAATAGTCCATCGAACTTAAGAAATCAGTATCTTTGATTAATATTGTTATTTATGGACCGTTAAAAATTACTTAATAAATTAAATAAAAAAAAAAATATGCTCAAACTAGGACTTTTTTTTGTTCTTTCCTCACTTTCTCCACTCTGAAATTCATGTTACGGCTTCTTTGACCATTGTAACATTGCCTTAAATGTTCACAGAAGATTATAAAAACAATTTTGGGTATCCACGGCTTAAATGCAACCACAATTTCCGACTTAAAGTAAGAAAAATAAGCACTTTTAATAAAATTTGCCTGAATTTTTGAACTTTTTAACTGTGTACACACCACCAATGTAACAGAAATACATTTTGATTATTGAGACAACTTTTTGGCAATGTAGACATGATATTAAAATAAATGCATTTATAAAAATGTACCGAGAACACTACAAACTGTGCAACCAAAGTACCAATTAAAGCTAAATTTTAAAATTGAGGGTAGATCCAAAACTACACGTAGGAAAAAAAAAGAAAAATATTTTTATTATTACTAATACACACCTAATAATAAACTATCAACAGAATCTCGGCACCATTTTCATTTTGATTTTTTGTTGACCAGTGTATTACTCAAACATACCCTGATTCAGAATCCGCTCGCCTATTCCGGCGATGGATGAAGGGAGTAATCAAGCAAACAAAAATATCACAGCGGCCCGAATATTTACCGAAC